GAAGCTTCTCAACTTCAAAAGCAGTCTGTCCTGTGGAACCTTGTCGAAGGCTTTGCTGAAGTCGACATAGACAATGTCCGTGACAAACCCACTAGCTTTGGCGGCACACCATTCCTCCCTGGCCAGAAGAAGGTTTGATGTGCAGGATCTCACCAGACGAAAACCGTGCTGTTGGTGGCACAGCGGTTGACACTTCGTCAGATGGTGATGCAATCTGCTGGAGATCATGAGCTCACTCACTTTGCAAGAGATGCAAGTCAGACTGAAGGGACTGCAATTCGCCGGATCTGCCCGTGAACCACTTGAACAGTGGCGATATCAATGCACTCTTCCAATCCTCTGGGAGGCGACCATATTTTAGGGAGCATTTGAAGAGGGCATAAAGGGGGGCAGATATAACAACCGCGAGCTCTTTTACCACCTTTGAATGCAGGACCCGGGGATTGGTCGAAATTGGTAATAAGCTGACATTATCAAAGGCACCAATCGAGCGTCCTATCAACATACCATGATCTTTTCAATAGGACACTCAGGGGGACATTCAGTGGGCGCTCAGAAGTCAATCAGCAACACACTGGTGCAGGATAGCCCACCGCTGCCACCAATTCGTAATACACGGCGGGAGGTTGATTTCGGGTGCCCGAAACACGATCGGAGGTTCTGGTGCCAATAGTGCTGTCAGGACACCGCAACCAAAACCCTCTTTGGTGTGTCGAACCAACTCGTAAACGCGCACAGAAGCTCCCAATGCACGGGTTGAAAATTTCCGAAAACAGGTCCTCCGTGGAAGAGGGATTTCCAAACAACCTGCATAACGGAAAATACAGAGCAACTATGAACCAAAGGACCCTGTGGGACATGCATACGACTCACTCAATTCAAAATGACGATGTGCTTATCGTCCTTCCTTGGCCGGTTTTTAATTTGCTCACCGTTTGGCGCAGTTACATCTTCCCTATAAACCTATTTCATCTTATTTCTATGGAATACGCCGATGTATGATCATCGTCTTACTCATCTGCAGATATTGAGAAAAGTTACCGTTAGGAGCGCTTATCCACGAACATCCGAAATAACCGAAAAAGCCTTTGGAGGCGTTTTTGGCTTAGCTAAATCACTAAAGCTTTTAGCAACTACTTTTTTGCTTTTGCTCGCTGGGCGCGACAAGTTTCATATGTAAACCGTGAAAGTTTACGCGTTATTTTCATGTTCTTTCCAGTAGAGCAGAGGCGAGCAACATGAGTTAACTCACTTTATCAGAGACCTTTTTCGAGCTAAGATCCCGAACTTGTAGTGTATTTGCGGTAAATCATTTCTGCAGTGGTCGAGGTTGTGGTCACAACAGCAATCTCGATGTTTTCCTAACCTACTTGGATCCATGTTGGAGATAATTGTTTCTCATCTGGCTATATTGTTAAACTCGTCATATCACCTATCTGGAACCAATGATATGCCAGTACTCTTATGTTGTTAGTGTTTTAGACCCCGTAAGAATAATGATAATATTAATAGCCTACACTTCCAATCCAATTTGACTTATGCTGCATAACTCAAGTCTTCACCCTTCGGCAGCTTCCGGAGCAACGTGATAGCTACAGAAGACGGATAATTTTTACTTTCATCGGTATCAGAACAAACTTAGTTTGGCTTGACCAGATTCTCTCTGAAGGTCATTTTTGAAGTGGTGTGCTCTGAGGAGAGTTTCAGTCCCTCAGGCGTTGTACCGCCACATGTCAGGTCATCTGCGGTCTTTCACTCGGTTCCCATCGTTTTCCTCTTCCCTTGGATTACTTCAGTCGCTTTATACGTATAGCAGAAGCCGAGTCCGAGCTTATGGCACTTTTTCATCCGAGTTCACCACGGAAAGCGGTGTTCGACAGGGTTACCCTCTATCCGTTTCTGTTTAACGTCGTGATAAATTTAATACTTGAAACAGCACTATCCTCGTGCGAGGATAGCGGTATTGATTTTCTCTCGGGTGGCAGACCGTCTGATCTAGAGTACGCAGACAACATAGTGCTACTAAGTGAATACCTAGGTAGGTTGCAAGCTTTTCTGGATAGTTTGAGTGCTAGTGTAGCCATATTCGGTATGCATTTTGCATCTTCAAAGTGTAAAATTTTGCTCTACGATTGGGTTGGTCCTACAGCCAGTCTCACCCTGATTGGGGAAGTCGTAGAAAATGTAGACACGTTTTTCTATCTAGGCAGCTATATCTCACCTGGCGGACGCATCACAGATGAAGTGTCGGCGTTCATACCACAGGCTGGTTTGATATTTGCCAACTTGAGACATCTGTGGCGCCGTCGCGAAATCCGGCTGTCTGTGAAGAGTCGAGTGTATGCTGCGGCAGTTCGGCCAGTTCTGCTACATGGCACAGAGACTTGGTCATTAAGAAAGCAGGATAAAGATAGATTGGCGGTGTTTGAACACCGCTGTCTACGCCGCATTGCACGAATCTGGTGGGGTTGCCGGATGAGCAATGCTGAGGTTAGACGCAGAGTTTTGGGTAATCGCGGTCGCCATTTGGAGCAAATGGTCGACCTTCATAGATTCGGTTGGTTGGGGCATGTGTTATGTATGTCACCAAATAGGTTGCCACGGCGAGCGATGTTCGCCGAGGCAGGTAGCGGTTGGAAAAAGGTTAAGGGTGGCCAAACGAAGACCTGACATGGGCGTATGAAAATCCTGCCCAGGAGACTAGGTCACATGGGTCATGTTAGGCTCCCTGGCTGGGGACCCCAAGATAATGATCACCGATGGCTAGAGACACAGCGATATGGCTGGGTGTCGCCAACATTGGCATTCGTGCATCTCAATTTCTTTGCAACCTTAGACCACTGAACTTCTCCATTTTCTTTTCGACTGCACTTTCAACTTTCCTCTGTTCTCCTATTCCTCGTCCAAATGGGCAGCCAAAAGACAGCAACCAAAACCGGCGCACGAATATGCGTGGTTAATTGTTGTACAAACTGAAACTGAACGTCCGGTTCAATACAACATCTAACCTGTCGGCGCCTTACGAGGTTCACCGCTCCAAGTCCCGGGCTTAGGTTATCGGTTCCCATCGCTGAACAGCAGGTCCTCCTGACTATAGGGCTTTCCCTCTAAAAGCCTCAGTATGGTCGGGGATAGGTGTCTAGGGTTGAGGCTGGTCACCCTTCCTTTGCACCTCGCGAAATGCCCCAGTACAACCATACGTTTCGAAAATCCTCTTCTGAGGAAGCCCTTCTCGCTGCTTTCTGGTGGCGAAGGTGTTTTCCCAGCAAAATGAGAGGACAAAAAGCAGATACCCGGG